GCGGCGCCCGCCGGCAGGCGCTGGAGCGCGGCGACCCAAGCGAACGCCGTTGAACCAGATGCCGCGGACGGAGGCCGCAGGAAAAGCCAATGACAATTGCAGCCTGCGGTCGCAGACAAAGCCTGGAAGGCGATGGCATGTAGAAACCAGATGCGCGTAGCAAAGCCAAAGCTAGACCTCCTGCACCATTTGCAGATTGGACCCCTCTGTGCGATTCACCTGCGGGTTGAGGGCGGCCCATCGAGGCCCCCTCAGAATGCCTCCCGCGGGTTTGGTGGCGCGGGCCGCCGAATCCATCCGCGTTTGAATGCATGCGCGCCCCCCCCTGCATCCCGGTTGCCCGGCGGGCCCCTGGACGTGGTCTCGCTGGATGATCCCGCGGGGGGTGGCGCCAAGCATGGGTTTCGGGCACCCTGCGCCGCTCGAGCTTGGCTCATCGTGGCAGCGGGGGGGCCACTCAGCTCATGGAAGCCCTCGGGTCCGCGGTCAGGCTGGACTCGTCGGTTTGAACATCGTGGATCCCTTGCTTCAGACGGCGGCGCCGCTGCGCCAGGGTTGCTTGGCTGGCGGCCGCGCTGGCGACGGCAGTTTCAATGCGCCCAATCGTCGCGGCAAGCATCTGCCGACCAGCTTCGAGACCCAGGGCCCTCGCGCCAACTTGATCGGAGATGCCTTGCACGCGCGGTTAAGAAGAGCCTCTCGTCGCCCGACGTATCACAGCAGCCCGTTGCCGCGCGTTGCTCGCGAGAGGGCAGGGGCGGGGGCGGCGCCTTCGATCCCGCCGCTCCGCCCCCCAAGTCGCAATCGGTTGCGCCCGTTGCGGCGAGGCGGCGGCCGCTGATATACGCGGCGATGTCTTCCCTGATGCTGCGGGTTCGCTAACGAGAAGCCGGCGAGCTGGCGAAGCGCTGCCCCGCCCCTGGCGGCGGGGTGCTCGGCGGCGGCGCTGCCAGGCTGGCTCGCGGCATGAACTGCGCTTGCAGTTTCTGCCCACAGTCCGCCCGGTCCTGTGGCACAGGGCAGGGGTTGGCCCATGCCCCCCCCGCGGGCGAGGGGCCCCGCCGCGGGTTACTCCGTCGCGGTGGTCTCTGGCGAGACAATCGCGGCAGCGGGGCCTTGCGGCGCGGCGCCCGAGGATCGGGCTGCGAGCGCCCCCTCGAACGCAGGGGCGACAGCGGCGGCATCCGCCTCGCAAGTGGCCGCGCGGACCCAGACGAAGTCATCGGCTGGGTCGGGCTTGGTGCGCGCGAGTTTCTGGAGGCATGAATCTCTCTTCGCGTCCGAAAGAGAGTTAGTCGGTGGCGCCCTGGATGTGGCCCGGAGCGGGCCTGGTTGCCTTCGCAGCGCGCTGCAACGCTGGGACCCTCGCTCAACTGCCAGGGCGGTCCGCGTTGATGGGCCCCCCGAACTGCGAGGGCTAGAGATTTGTCCTGAGTGCGCGCTGGAGCAGGCGAGCGCCTTGCTCTAGCGCGCGAAGCGACATGCCGCGGGCGCGCGAAGTTCTCCGCCGCCCCTCCCGGCCGCTGATTGAATGGGGGCGCCCCAGTTTGGCGCCTCAAGGCTGGCGAGAAGACCGCGCCGTTGCCCCGGCGAGATCTGGCATCGACAGTGGCGCCCGTCGGCGCGGCGCCACGGTCCGCGGCCTCTTTGCGCGCGAGGGGGTGATGCAGCAAGGAACGGCAGATGTCCTAGTCCCGCAGTAAGCAGACGATGAACCATATAAGACAAACCTTTTGGGGGCCCTCCTGTGCCAGCGTTGGCGGGGGCCTCGCCTCGGGGCCAGCGGCCCCGTTGGCTGGTCAGCGCCGTCTATGGCCCCCTCGGGGGCGTTTCTGCGAGGCCGCAGGCGGAGGCGAACTTTCTCTTGCCACCTCCCGAAGCACTGGTGGCCCCGAGCGTTCGCGACCACCGCCAAGGGGCGCGGGCGCCCGATCGACGACCGCGACAGGCCCCAAATTCTACATTCAAACGCGACGGGGTCGAAGGAACACCCCGGGCCCCGTGGGGGCCAGAACAAGTTCACACCCTGTGAAGACGCAGCTGTCGCGCAAAACGTTTGTAAACATATTCGAAGACGTCAATCGACCCAGTGGTCCCTGCCCGATGGGCTTTCGGAGGTCGCAGACAAGGCTGGTCTGGCGCTCGCGCACCTGCCGGTTCCCGCGACCAGCCTGGCCCCGCTGGCAGGAAACCAGCGCCGTTTGGCGCCTTTCGGGTTCCACGCGGGCCGGGGGCGACTTGGACAGACGCTGAGATGGCCGACGTGTGACGCAAAACCCAATCGGCACATTTCTGTTATGGGGCCTGGCAGCCAACAAATGAAACAATTCATGCCGCACTGATTGTTGTCCCTTGACGCATGCTCGGTCGACGCCGCCCCCGCTCTGGCATTGGAGTGCAGCGGCGCCATCTTCCGTTCGAGCCAGGTTGCTCTCGGGTGGGGGGGTCTTTTGGCAGCATAAACCTGATAACTTGGGCTGCCTTGGTGCAGGAGGCGCACGGCGAAGGCCTTTCGGAGCCACGGCGCGCTCGCGGATACTGCGAGCGTGTCTTCGGGGATGACTGGGACACGTCTCAACACCACGCCACGTGACGCGGCACCTGTCTTCCCAGGCGGAAGCAGATGCGGGGGGAGGTACGTGTCACGACCGGCCGCGGGCACACATGCTCTCGAACCAAGACTAAGTGAGGGAGGAGGAGAAGGAGAGGGAGGGCCAGAAGGATGGAAATGGGACAGGAGACGGAGAAGGAGGAGAAGAGGGAAGGAGGAGGAGGAGGAGGAGGAGGAGGACGAAAGGAACAGAATGGAAGGAGGGCAGAGGGTGCCCGGGGACGCCCTCGGCGTTCCTCGCGCTCGCTGGGGGGCCAGCGGCCCGCGGGGGGGGGGGGGCTGGCGGCTCGCGGCGACTTAAAAATGGCTGCAGGCGCGGCGGTGAGGATGGCCTTCGAACGCAGCAAATCCTCCTACTCCTTCTCAATCGCCCCACCTCCTCCTCCTCCTCCTGCTGCTGCTGCTCCTCCTCCTCCTCCTCCTCGTTGTTTTCCTCCTCCTCTCCTCCTACTCCTCCTCCTCCTCCTCCTCCTCCTCCTCCTTCTCCTCCTCCTCCCACCCTCCTCTCATACTCCTCCATTCCTTTTGCTTGAAAAGAAGTTTCCCCTGTCGGACCCCGAAGCATATTTTCAGGGCGGGCCGGGCGTTTCGCCGGAAACTTTCCCACCATTGAGGACTCTGAGATTTGAAACTTGGCAACAGTTTCGCAGATGGAGGGCGGGTCGTGTTCAAAAAGTTGCAAGAGTTTCACGCATTGAAGGCGGGTGGTTTTCAAAATGTGGCTCTCGCCTCAGCGCCGCGCACAGTCGTTTGAATAGATGGCGAGAGCTTCACGGACTAAAGACGGATAGTTTTCAAAATGTGGTTCTCGCATTTGCGCGGCGCACATTCGTTCTAGAAATTTGTAAAAGCTTCACAGATTGACGGCGGGTCGCTTTCCCAAAGTAAGGGCTCTCGCATTTACGCGGCGCACAGTCCTTCTAGATATTTGCAGGCGCCTCACGGATTGAGGACGGTTCCTTTCAAACTGTGGTTTCGCCTTAGCGCCGCGCACATTCGTATAGTTACAACGTTTGCAAACATTCCACGGATTCTCATCATCAACATACCAGAATTTGTGATTTGGAAGGATTCAGGATTACGCGGGCACTACAGTTACGTTGATACACGGTGGTGAAATCCCAGGAAGTGGCGTCCTGGCACGATTCAGGGTCGTCCGGATGCGAAAATCAAGTTGATCCGTGGCGCTGGAATCCCAGTAACAGTGTTCTGGCACGCTTCAGACTCTTCAAACGGTTGGCTTCCAACGGGGCAGTTCCCTCAAGTGAAATGAACCCTTGTAGGGGCCTGCGACGAGGAAACTTGAAAGGAGGGTGTATTCCAACACCGCTGGCGTCTTTTAGGTTTACACTGTTCCTCCTCCTCCTTCCTCCTCCTCGTCCTCCTCCTCCTCCTCCTCTTCCTCGTCCTCCCTCTTTCTCCTTGTCCTTCCTCCTGCCGCTGCTGCTGCCCATCCTCCGCCGCCTCCTCCTCCCTCCTCCCGCCTCATTCCTCCTCCTCCCTCCTCCGTCCTCCCTCCTCCCTCCCGCCTCCTACCTCCTCCTTCCTCCCTCCTGCCTCCTGCGTCCTCTCTCTTCCCACTTCCGTCCACCCAACTCCCGTCCTCCCTACTCCTCCTCTTTCTCCTCCTCCCTCCTCCCTCATCCCCCCTATTCCCTCCCCCATCCCTCCTCCATCCTGCCTCCTCCCCTCACTCACCTTGGGCCCAAGCATTTCTTGCGCCCATCCCTCTGGGTTTCTGGGCAGAGAGCTTCAGGGACTAAACTCGGGGGTGCGCCAACACCCCCGAGCTTCGACTAACACAAAGGGTTTCTTTCCAGCAGTGCTGCGTGTCTCGCCATGGTCAAATTGTGGCCTCCTTGCCCCAGCTGCCAGAAGTGCGCGTGGAATGCGAAGTTGCAGGCTGTCAATTGCGTGAGCAGTGGATGTGGCACGGCCGTTCCTCTCCATTCCCCTAAGAAGAAGGTGCGTTTCTCCCACCGCGGGAGCAATCAGGACGGTTTCTACGATGCGCACAGCGGCGACGAGTCCGACGCCGAGCTCGAGCCCTGGCCCGTCGGCATCCTCAAAACGGCGCCCGCTCCCGCAGCGCCTCTCCGAGGCCCGTCAGGAGCGGCAAGGGCCACAAGGGCGGCGCCAATCAGGTGCGGGCGCTGCCACGGCAGGCGGTGATCGCGGCTTCGGAGGATCCCGCACTCAAGGCAGCATTGGAGACGCAACTGGTGCAGATCACCGCCAAAGAGCAGCAGACAGCGGTCACGCATGGGTCTCCAGGCAAGGCTCTCAGGAGGGCGGAGGGTGCAGTGCACAATGCGGAGCGCCTTCACGAGCGGGCGGTTGGCAGCGTCCTCAAGGATGCGAGCAGGCTGCGGCGCGGGCGTTGGCGGAGGCCTTGGCGTCGAAGGAGGCAGCGACATTGGCTTTGACGAAAGCGGAGGGACTGGCGCCAGCGTCCGAAGTGCCAGCTGCAAAGAGAGATCAGTCGTTCACAATCGAGGGGGAAGAAAAGTTCTTCAGCGAGTTACAGACGACGGAGCGCACGACCGCAGAACGCGCAGCCTCGACGGGCATCAAGAACCGGCTCGAAGAGGTGACCGCGCGACGTTTCTCAGGCCGTGAAGCAGAGATCGAGAGGTGGCTCAAGAAGGCGGCCGACTACCAGAAGACGATCATGGACAGGCTCGCCAAGAAGCGTACGGCAGGTTCGTGTCGTGCCGACCCCAGCGTTGGTTTTTGACACCGCGGGGATCGTTCAACCTTGAACGATCGGCCGCTGCCGCAACGTCCGATCGTTCAACATCGACCGATTCTGGGCTGCCGTCGGCGTTCAACGTTGAACGCCGCTGGCGGGGTCGCCACTGGTCGACACGACGCGAACCTACCGTAAGAGCGCCGACGGCTCCCCCAGGCCCCAGCGGCGGCGGTGGCCGAGGACGGCCAGGCAGCTGCGGCGGCCCGAGGCGGCGACGCCGCGGGCACCGAATGGGCGCGGGGGCAGGGGGGGGCAGCATGGGGCGCCGGCGCGGAGGCGAGCGACGCCGACGAAGGAGAGCCGGGCAGAAAAGGAAGTCGAGCTCGCCGCCGAAGCCAAGGGACTCTTCGGCGCGAAGTTCCAGGCGGAGGTCGAGGCGGCCAAGGCGGCAGGCAAATGCGTGGCTGCCCACGCGGCGGGGGCCGGTGCCGCGGCGGCGGGACAGGCCGCTGGGCTCGCCTCCGCCGAGCCCGAGGAGGAGTGGCGAGACGGAGATGGAGACGACCTCGTTGTTCCACAGCAGAGCGACCCTAATGTCCGACAAGGTTTGGAAGCACGTCGAGCCAAACGCAGCTCGGCACCGAAATTGGGCTTTCGTGGAGACTCATGTACATGGCGAGTGCGAGCTGCGAGAGTGGGACGCGAAGGCGGGGAGCCTCCGCTCACGTTTGCATGCGAAACCTGCCCGTGCATCTGGGCAAGAAGTTGCGTCGTCCAGAGAGGCCAGGTCCAACGCGGGCGGTGAGTTCTTCATGAGTCACGGGCATTTGCAATCTCAATATCTGCAAGCAGCTCGAGCTGCAGCGGGGCATCTTCGATAATCTAACCAGACGGGGTTGGGCGGATCCCTGCCGATGGTGCTGCATTTCTCGGGCAGTTCGCTGGCGGCTCTTATTCTCCATGCTCTACCCTTCATGGACATGCACGGGCGCAATCGCATCCGCCCCCAAAGATTGGGGGGCCCGATTCAAACTTTGTTTCTGCCGTGGATTGTGGTTGGCGACTTCAACATGGAACCATCAGTGTTAGTGAAGTCACATTTTGTCCAGCGCCTGGGGGGCGCGGCAAGGGCTGCTGGCCCCGCCGGGACGCGCGCGCGCGCGCGCAAAGATGGCCGAAATTCGCTTCTGGATCACTGTGTCTGTAGCCCCATTGCCACTCGTTTCCTGAGCAGCGTCCACGCCGCGAGGGCCGTTCCTTGGAAGCCGAACCAAGCTCTGGTCCTCAGATTCGCGAGCTCTGGTTTTGTCTCTCCCCACTCGCTCCCTCAAGGCCTCCCCCGGGCCCCTCAGATCGGGGAGACGTAAGACCCGGGTACGGGGGACTCGGAAATCCCCGACGAGGTCGTCAAAAAAATGACGAGGCCGAGCCTGCATTTTGACGAGGCCTCCCGCTGCAGACATCCCACTAAACTCCTCCTCGTCAAAATCCGAGTCGCGGTCGTCAAAAAACGATGGCGAACCCGAGTCCTGGCAAACCCGGGTCTTACGCTCCCCCGATCAGACCCCGAGGCCCCGCCCGGAGCCCGCGCCCGGGTCTGGGTCGACCCGCGCCAAGCTGTCTCACGCCGCCAAGAAGCAATATGCCTTCGAGTCCAGAGTTGCCCAGTTAAAACTACGTTCGGAGACTGCTTTCAGTCCGCGGAGCCCGCCCTCGGAGCGGAGCCCATTGGGGACGCTACCACAGAGTTCGCCGATGAATCGCTCGATTGTTGGCCTGATGAAGAAGAAGATCCGTGAGATGACAAATGAAATGCTTGCCGGGGCGCTCGCATAAGCGAGGCGCCCCCGACCCCGTCCCAGGTTGACTCCGCGGTCGTTTTGTCTGCGCCCGCCCGTCTCGAGAGCAGCCCCTCCCAGCAGGTGCCCACGAGTGGGGGTGGGCGCAGCCAGAGCACCGACCCCCCCCAATTCGAACCGGCCCCCCGCCTGCGTAGAGCAGCATGAAGACGCGCGCTCGAAGAGCGATGCCCCCCGCCTCAGCCTTCGCCCCGACCCGCCCTTTAGCGCCCCCGGTGATTTGCGGGGGCGGCGCCGTGCAGAGGCGGGGTTCACGTCGGGAGAGCAATATATCCAGTCTGCCCCCCCTCTTCTGCTGTCCCCCGTAGCCTTATGGGTCAAACGCAAGCCCGTTAGCCCGGGCACGTTTGGCGCGTGGACATCGACCGTTGAGTCCACCACCTCGCAGCAACGCGGCATGGGCGCCCAGGGGCTGTTTCGCGCGTCGGGCCCGCGCTTCCGCGCCCACGCGTTGCGCGCCGCGCGCAGCAAGAGGGAGATGGCGATCAACGATCAACGAGCCCACTGGCGGGTCCGAGTCCATGCTATTCGGAGCGGCATCGCCAGGCACAGACGCAAGTCGAACGGCCCCAAGCAGTTAAACCAGTATCAGATTGACGCCAGGAAGCTCGTAGGAGACCGACCAGAGGGCACCCGCTGCATCCTGCGCCCAGGCAGGGATGCGCCGTGGGATGAGTGGCTTAGTTTGTTGAATGATTGCGAGACTCGAATTGTCGCGGCATCGGATGCTGTCGACGGAGCCCGCAAGATCAGCCAACGGGCCCAGCGGTGCGCAGCGCGGGCTTCGCTGCTAAGATTTCGAATGGGTTTCCCAACCCGAGGCCGACGGTGCTCTGCACAGGTCACTCAAGAAGGGCCCTGCACCACCGATCGAGATTTTTCATGGAGGTCAAATCGCGTTTCATCCCAGGGTTGCCATTGAGTCGCGGGAGGTGCCCTGGGAGGTGCCCAGAACGAAGGCGGGGACAAAGGGCAAGGGCAGGAACGATCGCGAGAACGAGGGCGGAGGCGAGGGCAGGAACTGGGGTGGGAACGGGGGCGGGGGCGATGGACGAGAACGAGGGCGAGAACGAAGGCGAGAATGAGGGCTGGAACGAAAGCGGGAACGAGGCGAAAACGAGGGCGGGAACGAAGGCGGGAACGAAGGCGGGAACGAGGGCGAGAACGAGGGAGATACAGAGGGCGGGAACGAGGGCGGGAGCGAGGGGGAGAACGAAGGCGAGAACGAAAGCGAGTCGAGGGCGGGAACGAGGGCGGGAGCGAGGGCGGGAACAAGGGCGAAAACAACAGCGGGAGCGACGGCGGGAACGACGGCGGGAGAGACGGCGGGGGCGAAGGTGAAAACGAGGGCGGGAACGAGGGCGAAAACGAGGGCGGAAACGAGGGCGAGAACGAGGGCGAGAACGAGGGCGGGAACGAAGGCGGGAACGAGGGCGGAAACGAGGGCGAGAACGAGGGCGAGAACGAGGGCGAGAACGAGGGCGAGAACGAGGACGGGAGCGAGGGCGGGAACGAGGGGGGGAGCGAGGGCGGGAATGAGGGCGGGGGGCCGCCTCTGGGCGCCTCCGGGATTCCTCCGGGCGCCTCCAGGGAACCTCTGGGGAATGCCTCCGGGGAACCTCCGCGGAACCTCCGGGAGATATGTTTGAAGTCTGTTTGAGGTATGTTTGAGGTCTGTTTAAGGTCTGTTTGAAGTATGTTTCAGACCTGTTTCGGGCCACACTCTGTCCAAGGTCTGTTTGGGGCTTGAGGTATGTTCGAGGTCTGGCTGAATCTCTGTTTCAAGTCTGATTTCCCTAGGCGACGATGGCGACAACGAGGGCGGGAACGAAGGCGGGAACGAAGGCGGGAACGAGGGCGATAACGACGGCGAAAACGAGGGCGAAAACGAGGGCGGGAACGAGGGCGGGAACGAGGGCGAGAACGAGGGCGGGAGCGACGGCGCGAACGAGGGCGGGAGCGAAGGCGGGAGCGAAGGCGAAAACGAGGGCGGGAACGAAGGTTGGAACGAGGGCGGGAACGAGGGCGGGAACGACGGTGAGAGCAAGGACGGGATCGAAGGCGAAGGCGAGAAAGAGGGTTGAAGTGAAAATGGCCTCGGGCAGGGGCGAGAACGAGGGCGAGAACGAGGGCGGAGACGAGGCCGGGCGCGGGGCCTGGAGCGAGGGGGGGAGAAGGAGGGAAGGTTGCGGATAAGGGCGGGGATAAGGGGAGGAGGGAGGAGACAAAGTGAGGAGGAGGGGAAGGGGGAGGGGGGAAGAGGGACGCGAACGGGGGAGGAGGGAAAGGGAGGGAGAGGGAAGCGGAGGAAGGAGGGAGGGGATAGACGAGGTAGGAAAACGAGCGAGGGAGGAGGGAGGATGGGCAAGGAGAGAGGACAAGCGCACTTGCGCAGCGCGCCCCGCGCCCTCCGCCCCGGACTGCCAGAACTCTGGTGGTACTCTGATTCAGCTCAGTTTTGGCTCTGAAGCTCTGATTTAGCTTTGATCTGGAACTCAAATTTAAGTCTGATTTAGCTCTGGCTCGGAACAGTGCCGAATGAAATTTAAATCGGAGTTCAGACCAAAATTAAATCAGAATTCCCAAACAACAAAAATGAAACAGAGTTCCGGGCCAGAGTTGCATCAGAGTTGAATCGCAGTATTAGTCGAGCTTTTTGAATTTAGCTTCTGAGTCGAGTTTGCCTCCAAAACACACACATACACACGCTCAAGCTTTGGGGGCCTCAAGATAGCTACAAGCTGGCCAGCATGAGCCCCAATAATAAGGACCCAAAAGCGCCCATTGGCGCCCCGAAAGCGCCGCAGTAGAGCTCAAAGAGGCGAAGTCTAGGTGTTTGTCGAAGGGACTGGCATATGCGCCGCCGTCAGTTTAATCGATGGCTTCCAAGATGGCCTCAAGGGGAGGCCTCTCACACACACACACACCAGATGCGCAGCAGCAGGATACCGACATCCTGGCTGCTGGAAAAAGTATACAGTCGGACCCAGGCCAGAAGGACATCCCTCAAGAACCTGAGACCCTCCGTAGGCTAAAACAACCAGAACATCCAAGGGTACCATCCCCAGGATGCCCAAGAACGTCCAACGAACACGGAGGACGAACGCTAGGGCACCCTCCCCGAATCGACCT